CGCGTGGCGGCCGGGCGGGGCCGGAGCCGGCTCCTCTTTGTCTCTTGCTCTGCGGCTTGTAGGGTTAGGCCTCGGATGGCAGGGTCCTCCCAGAGCAGGTTATTTCTTTAGAAATGAAGGGCTTTGATGATGCCTTTATTAGTAAATCAAGAGGATCAGTCGCACAGGGTGAATCGGCTCTAAAAACCTGAAAGCATCCCAGGATTTGGGATGGCCCATGCCCTGAACCCATGTTTGTAGCAGGCCTTTCTCTAGGTTATCCTCTATGTAGGGGCCAACTAAAATTGCAGAAGTGCGCTGCATGGCAGCTCATTGAATCTTGCAGTGTGCTGCACATCAAAGAGACTCCATCCATTCTGGTTCGTTAGGGTTGCCGTACGTCTGGGTTTTCTCAGACACGTCCTCCCGTATCCCTTTCAGGTGTTGTTTTTTAAATATCAGCAAATGTCCAGGATTTTGCTCTGCCTCTGCTCAGCATCCAAGTTTTTCTTGGCACTTCCTGGCTAGCCCTAGCAAGGAGCTGCTTGGGGCTGGGGAGACCTGGGGGAGAGGGCAATTGGATGCAGGGGCATCACAGACCTCTGTGTGAGCCCCGGCAGCTGCAGGCAAGTAAGTCTGTAGCGGGCAGGGGTTGAAGGGAAAGGGCCAGGGCTGGAGACCATCTGTGTCTGGGTCTCGGTGTGTGACAGGGTGGGTGCCTGCCGGTGCTGGGGCTTCAGCAGAGCAGGCAGGCAGGGGAGGTGTCTGCCCCTCCAGCAGGGGAAGGGGTGGGGGTTTCTTTGGGGGCAGCAGGGCTGGAGGGGCAAGGGGCTGTGGGTTAGGAGTGAGGGGAACCAGCAGGGCTGGGGAGATCCTGCATGTCGGGAGCAAGGAGCACCAGCAGGGTGAGGGGCGTGCAGGCAGGGGCTGTGGGTTGGGAGTTAGGGGCACTGGGGGGGCTGTGGCTTGTGGGTACCATGGAGGCAGGGGACTATGGGTTAGGATCATGGGGCATGATCCTGGGAGCTGGGGGGGTGCACCATGGCAGTGAGCAGGGACTGCTCGCAGCCACTGCCAGCAGCAGCAGGAGGAGGGGAGGGGGGACAAGCAGCAGGCAGTGAGCGGGGTCTGCAGGCGGCCGCATTGGCAGTGGTGGGGGGGCAGTGACCTCAGAAGCCAGCAGCAGCTTCAGCAGTGGCCAATCTCAGGTGGGGGCACATGCCCTCATGCCCCCCCTACGCATCACCTATGGGTATAGGGGGTATGGGTTGGGAGTGAGGGGCACCAACATGGTCTGGGGGTTGGGAGTGAATGGCAACGGGGGGGGGG